ATTTTATTTAAAGTAAATAACAGGACGGTGGATAGTGTGTAAAATGCAATTATTGTATTATGAGGGAGAGTCAGTAAGAAGGTCACAAATGGATATTCAAGCCGGGAAGAAATATTTATATCTCGAGATATCCTCCACTAACATTGATACTCTTGTCCCATCGCTTTACCAGTGCGCGGAAACCCCGCAGCATAGAAGCCTTTTGACTGTTGTCTCGGCCACTTCCTCACCTGCTCGGGCGTTATCTGCGACTTCCGAACGTCCTTTACAGAATTTCTCGACAAATTTGTGAACCGCTTTACGCGACAAACACTTCCCACCGTAAGCAGCAATCATTTATGAGTAACCTTTGCAGTGAGTCCTTCTGCCCACCAAAAACCGCATAGTAGAACGTCGCTCTTCGGTAGTACACTCAAGGACGGTCGGCATTTTGACTACGGAAACCAGCCCCTGAATATGTGCATGCGCGTGTGCTGTCATGAAGCTGGACTGTGCTGCCACCTAGTGATACGCTTAGGTAACCTATTACGCCCGTTACAGCTGTTTTACTTCCATTACTGACTCTCCCTCGTTATATGACATCGTTATTTGCGTTCACGTGACCAATCTCTCTTTTTTTTAACATCAACATTTTATAGGTTTCTATGAGTTACAGTATTTAGGAAGATTCTACAAAAAGTCGATCTCTGACACGGCTGCGAATTACAATGAACTCAGTGTTATAGTGTAACTTTTCTACAATATCCTTCCTTTCGAAGGGGACGCGCCCCACATCTTGAATAACACTGCGAATTGTAGTAAATTGGAACAAGGCGGTAGCGTAGTTGGTTGAAGCACTGTGCTACAAGCTGGAAGGTCGCGGGTTCGATTCTCCATGATATCACTGGATTATCCAGTTGACCTAATCCTTCCAGCCGCACTATGGCTCTGGGGTCGACTCAGCCTCTACCAGATATGAGTACCAGGAATCTCCCTGGGGGTAAAGGCCGGCCGGCGCCTAAGGCTGACCTCACCTTCATCTGTGAGCCGATCGTCGGGATAAAACGTGGGAGCCTCGACGTCTCACAACGCTATGGGCCTCCACTGCCTGTTGCAGGGACAGCTTGCTGTAGTAGATAGGACGGCAAGGTTACGCATATCCGTGACAGTGGACTGTGTCCAACATGTCTTTGTGCTTGAGTAACTGTGTGACGCCATGAAGCGTATCCGACAGTGGACACTGTCCAACATGTCCTTGTGCTTGAGTAACTGTATGACATCATGAAGCGTATCCGACAGAGGACAGTGTCCAACATGTCCTTGTGCTTGAGTAACTGTGTGACGCCATGAAGCGTATGCGACAGTGGACAGTGTCCAACATGTCCTTGTGCTTGAGTAACTGTATGACGCCATGAAGCGTATGCGACAGTGGAGGTGTAGCGGCACCGTTATTACCCTATGCACTAGATGCAGGTGGGTGGCCAGCTACACGACCCGGCCACTTTACCCCCCGGTGGCCACTACACAAAGCTAGTGTGGAGGGCGCTGTGAAGAGAAGTGTCTACTTTCCAAATGTACTCCCGGCGCACCAGCTCAGCGACTTTCGGTCTCTTCCCACGAACTGCGAGGCCATACGTCTCACCTTGTCTTTATCCCTTGTGATATGTACAGTTTAGTCTGGTATATATTTACCGGCGTTTGAAGCGACCTGCTGCCTCCATCTTCAGGCACAGTGAGGGCAGTCCTTGTCCTCCATTCCTTATGTCACCGAACGCTCCTTCTCTCGTGTCTTCTACGCTGAAGATGGGGGCAGCAGGACTGAGACCTTGAGAGGCAGCGGCGCTGTGAGAGCCTCACGTCGCATCTTCAGAGTGAAAGTTGTGAACTGTGTGGTACTGCTGCTGTCTCTGCTGAGGCTGGGTCCCGCCAAGTCACCAGCAATTTCATGTTTGCTGCAGGTAGAGGAGGTCCATCGGGCTGCGAGACTCATTGCTGTTAGACGCTGAGTCGACTCCAAGGCCATAGGGCTGGAAGGATTAGGCCAATTGAAAAATCCATTGACCCACGACCTTCCGTTTTGTCGCAGATTGCCCCATAAATGGGGGCTGCTCGGAAAAATACGGGTTCTGAAGTTCAACTGAAGGCAGTGTTTCTGCGGGGGTTGACAGTTCTCAGAACGACAGGCGTGTTGCCCCCCTCCAAGTTTTGAAACTGCTTTGCGAGGATCGCCATATGTCGGCTGTCGTCCCGTAAAGCACGTAATTGCTTACTCTCAGCGAGTTTCCTTGGGATGACCGCTTGACACGTATCGCAGTCTGCCCGGTTCCATGGCTTGTTTCTCCGAAGTGCGTGAATTAGGCGCGCAGTACGGAAACATGTATGTCCATTGCGCTTTACATCTGCGAAACAGCCTAAATGATTTCGGCAGAACCCCCCCCCCAAAAAAAAAGAAAAAACGTTTCGGCGACAACATAATTGCACAAAAAGCCCGTGGCGTTGTGTGCGCGCAGTAGAAAGCGGCTGGCTGCCTTGCGCAACCGCAGACAAGCACGCGGGGGTCGACCTCAAACCTGTTGATATTAGAGGTCCTGTTGATGTAATAGTCTTGAGTTATGCAGAGCCATTTGCTCCTATTCTACGTCACTTCCGGGACGGCATAATGATGATAGCAGCAGTCAAGAACACGCGATGCGAGTATACCTTAACCCTGCACGCACCACCTGCGTTTAACCACACAGTGCATGCATATGTATCGAGCGAACTGGCTCAGCGATAGCGCTTCTCACTTGTGTACGAGAGGAATCCTGATGTCTCTTCTGGTCTTCCGGGATAAGAGACCACATCCTTACCCCTTCATCGCTCACCAGTTGTACCTCCATTCCACCCTGTGTAGCCCCAGATACTGACAGAGCCATTAAATGAACCAAGAAAGTAAATGCGTTCTCCTCCGCAGCATTAAGCAACTGAATTTGTTCTGTACCTCACAGGAAACATTACGTCTCCGCTACAGAGCCCAACCGGTTAATGCTGTGTAGGGAAACAGTCGCTGTTTACTGTGAGAGCCATACGGAACACACAGATACACTCTGTGGGCAGAATGCAGAGTTTTAGTATGTTCAGTCCGTACCTCACAGGAAACATTACGTCTCCGCTACAGAGCCCAACCGGTTACTGCTGTTTAGGGAGTTTTAGTATATTAGAGCAAGGTGGTACATATAGTAACCACTGGGTTTATAGTGGTAACCTGATTGACGTTGGAATATAGCCGCTGCCCGGTTCGCGTGCGCTGGGAATCGTTTCTGTAAATATTGCTTTCTTGAGATTCGAGCTTCGGCGCTTTGGTTTGTCGACAACCACGTGAGAGATGACAACTGCATTCGGACTTCCCCCCCCCCCCGTAAATCCTAATGAGAAGACACCCCAGCGGATATCTAGGCGCAGGTGGGGGTGATATTAAAACGAAATAGTGTGTGAGGGTCTGGATTGAATTTACCTCTGTCGGTGTTGATTGTCGTTTGAGGTTAGTTTTGCCAAAGTTTAGTCCGGTTCAGTGCTGGGTGCGAGATATCACGTGCGGGACAAGGATGGACTGACGGACGGACCTACTGAACGTTATCCGGCTTCTTAAAGCAAATACAAACGGATCAGAAGTTACGGAGGGCTCTATCTCGTGGGATATAACGCCGTGGAGTCCGGCGAAGGTGATCTCACGTTTCGGAGGTACATGCCACCCCCATCTTCAAGGTCGAAGAGTAAGCCAAGCAGGAAGCAAGCAGAGCCCTCTGTTTTCCGCTGCTTCAGTTCGGCAAATCCCTTTGGATGCAGAGAGCAGCAATTTTAGCAGAGGAAATGTAAACTCGTAATTAATTAAACACAAAGCCATGAAGACGTATGGGGAAATGGACGTACAGCTCCACCATTTTTTAACTCTGCATTAGATGGAGGCGAGTGGTCAGTTTCAAGTCCTGGCCAATTTACCTTCTGGGAGAAAGCCTCCGGTGTCCATTGGATAGAGGCTGGGTGGACCCCAGAGCCGGTCTGGATACTGTGAAATAGAGAAAAATATCTTGCCCCTGCCGAGAATCGAAGCCCGGCCGTCCAATCCGTAGCCCGTCGCCATGCTACGAAGCACGTCTACCCGTTCCTTGCCCGTGTGGATCTCAGTGTGTGCAGCAGGTATAACACTCGTAGTGAGACACCGAGGTTTGCGCATGCTAATGGAAGAAAAGTTGGGACCGCGCTGCCGTACATATTGGTAGAAGTACGGAGTAAATTTCGCTATATCTTTGTGTTCTCTGTTAGGTCTGTGCGATGGGAAACAGGACACTGAACCGTTATCACAATTAAATTCCCTTGCCGTGAATGCCACTAAGGTTTATTTTTCCAAATTATACAATCGACATTAATTCAGAAAACCCAAATCCTGCGCCCCTCTCTCAAAGCCACTACTTCTAACCATCACAACGTCTGCACTTTCGCACCGGCCCTTATTAGAGGGGCAAGCGGGGGGGCCTTCTGACAAAGTGATGCTCTTTCTATCCCTCACAGGAAATCCTCTCTCGCTTCTACAATGATTTCCCGATTTTATCTACCCTTCTACTATGCGTTCTCCCATTTTTCACGAGTTTGCGTTCTTACGGAACTCGAAATAAAATTGCTTCATCCGTCTGTCCGTCCGAAACGTACTCGAGAGCCGCCGAAATCTGTTAATGGGGAGTTTAATCAGAATTTGCAAATTCCAAAGCTGATTAAAATCGGACAACAATAACGGACATTTAACATGAATACCTACACGTGTTTCTGCGCTCGTCCCGTGTTCAGTTCGCGAGTAACTCGTTAAATGTCTGTCAGCGCAAAACAAAATGTTTCGATACATTAACTTGTGAGAGACAAGCGAGACAGTTCGTGTGCAAATGGCGCTTGTCGGCGCGGTTCGGAAGAAAGCAACACCAGTTTCTAAGCCTTTTTTTTTTTCGTTCGGTAAGTTTATGTATACTGAATGAAGGAGTGTCAGTTCTTACGTGTTTCTAGGGCGACAGCCCTCACCGCGACGTCCACCAGAGCGGTCGCGAGCACCAGCAAGCACCAAATCCGCATTGTCACTCAGAACCAGAACTGAACCAGATGTATCTTGCAGTGGTGAAAGCATGGTAACGGTAGGCCTTTTATCTGTTTGGTTCTTAAGGATAGGGTTTTGTGTGGGAGGGGGTGGGGGGGCTATGTCATTGCGGAGAGGGGAGCGTGTTGGAGGGGGGGGGCAGTAGTTATTCACAGAAGGAAATGCGGATTGTTCTGTGCGATGGAGCTATCTATTTCGCACCGCTGTTTGCATGACAAATGATGTTGAGGCTGGTTGTTATGTTGACCTTCACTTGTCGTGCATCGGTGTAGGGGTGGAGTCACTGAACCGGCTAATATACATTCTTATCGCTGAACAGAATGTCTACATCTACACAGAAACAACATAACATCGTGTAAATGTTTTAGCTACGGTCTGGATATTCGGGCTTCGATTCCGTGTAAGGCAAGGAATTATTTTGGCCACTGTCGCGTCCAGACCGCCCTGAGACCCACCGAGCCACCAGAGGATTTTCCTTACTGATAAATCGAACGGAGCGCGAAGCTATCACGCGGCCCAGTACCTCGGTTACGAATGCGGGGAGCTTTACCTCCACGCTTCCTGCACGTCATTGTGCTGCGGTGCCTGGACTGAGGGCAGCTTGCTTACTTACGTCGGGACGGGCGGACGGACGGACTTTAAGAGAGCTTAGGTGCAGTGCCAGTAAAAGCTGTTCAGCACGAAGTGTACAACAAATAACTGACTGAATCACTAATTTCCTGGAGCAGAGATGTTTCTGAGAATGTCGTTGTTTCTCAGCTGTACCTAGTATCCTCCGCCTGTTATGGAAGCGGGATTTATATGACGTGTTCACAAGAGCCCGCCAGAGAAATCTAGTTCGCACCCTCTCACTTTTTATGATTCATTTTAATATTATCTACTCCGATGTGTCCTTTCAGTTTTTGCCATCTCTGACTTTCGTACTGTGTGCCTCGCTCATATCATTTCCCTGTATGTGAGGAACCGGCTCTGTTTTTGCATACTGCTAAAGCAGTTCCCGTCTCAGCCGGAAGCCCCGCACTTGTCGCACGTTTGTGCTCTTCCTAAATCAATTTTCCCTGTCCTTACGTCACTCTTCTTCCCCTTCTTGCCTCTTTCTCCTTTACGAGAGAATCACCCACTCACTCATGGAGTTGAGCTCATCTTGAGAAGCCACCAGTTGTGCAGATACTCAAGAACTTCCCAGCATTTTATGGAACACGAAGGTTCATAACCGTGTTCACAAGACCCCTTCCACTGGTCCCTATTCTGAACCAGTTCAATCCAATCCATACCATCCTATTCTATCTCTCTAAGATCCATTTTTAATACTGTCCACCCACCTACGTCTTCGTTTTCCTAGTGGTGTCTTTCCTTCTGCCTTTCCTACCAATATCCTACATGCAATCCTCTTCTCCCCATTCCTGCTACATGCCCTGCACGTCTCATCCTCCTTGACTTGATCATTCTAATTATACTTGGAGAAGGGTACAAGTTATGAAGCTCCTTATTATGCAGTTTTCTCCAACCTCCTGTCACTTCATCCCTCTTCGGTCCAAATATTCTCCTCAACACCCTGTTCTCAAACACTCTCAGTCTGTTTTGCTTGCTTAATGTCAGAGAACAAGTTTCACATCCATACAGAACCACAGGCAAAATTATAATTTTGTACATTTTAATTTTTACGTTTTTTTTTTTCGTTTTTTTTTTTCACAGCAGAAGAGAAGACAGAAGGTGCTGGACTAGCAAGCATTACCCGAGTGCAATCTCCCCTTATTTTCCTCCTCAATCAGGTTTTGATTTGTTATGTCGTTCCCAAATATCTGAACTGTGCCACATTTTCAAAACCTCTGTTGCCTATCGCTGTGTCACGATTTTGCTCTGCATTTTGGTGACGGGACAGCAACATGTACTTATATACAACAGAGTACTGTAACCAAATGTCGTTCAAAAATACCCCGACACTCTGCTCGCTTCATACCATCGTATTCTTAATACAGTAAACATTGTTAGGTACACCACTTTCGCTTTCCGTTTCCATGGAAACGGCGCAATAGTGACGCAACGACAAGCCGACAAACATTGACCTGCTTAGACTGATCACGTAACGATAAGGCCAGCAGAGAGGGGACCTGCATTTCTTTGCTTTCTGGCGCACGGAAGCTGCACGCGAGATGCGCGGACCCTGAACTGTCATTATGGTGTTACAGTACAGCTGGACAAGTTTCCTTCAGAAGTGGGGAACTTCTTCCTGTCTTCTTTCTCTAACTTCATTTCCGGTCTCCAGCCACCCTTCTTACCGCAGAGCATACTTCTCGATTTCCCTGCCTGGCTGAACCACATGCCTCCTCCCTTCAATTTCCGATTCGAATTCCGCTGTCGGCACTTTTGTCTCTCTCTCTCTGTTCATGTCAAGTTGTACTGCTATGGCGTGGGGGGGGGGCATGTGGGCAGTTTGGTAGTGTTTAACCCTTTGAAACCCCGAAGACGCCAGAGCGAGAGAAGAGAAATTGGCGGTATAGTGATACACATTACATTTTGAAGATTCCTAGGCAGTGCTCGCTTGTCCTTCTGCTAAGCGTACGTTTAAGAAAGGGTAAACCGTTGGGAAGCGAAGAAGATAAAGGATTAGGAAGAGGACGACCGACGGTCAGTCGGCCAGTCTGGGTCCCGACACCATGTTCCTAGTAATGTCAATTGCGGATGTGTTGATGTGGGGCGCCCTCTCTGACGAGAGGACGTTTAACCGTCCTCCTTTGAGGCTTCTAGCCCACAAGTTGGTTGCCACTTTTTTTTTACCGTCCGTCTTGTTCGCTTTACGTTCGGCGTCACTTTGACTGCCCTACCTGGTGCTGCCGCTGCTGAAGTTGTTGGGGCGTGGCTGGTTCCGGCTTGACCAGGCTCACCGCTTCCTCCTTCCTTGGTGATTACAGGGGTTGTAATTTCAGGATGGGACCTGATGTAATGGGCGCCAGCAAATAGCTAGGTGCGGTTTGCGATTCATTATAAAGGAGGGAAGGCGTGAGTGGGTGGAAGCTGGCGATGGGTTTGACTAGCTCCTGGCGATGAGTCTCTCCTCAGGTCGGCTAAGGGTCAGGCTCGGACAAGTGAGGGTGAAGCACTTCTAACCAATACAATGCACTGTACCACTAGAACACTTTATTGTTTTCTTACAGTCACTCGGCGGTATAAATCCACACAATCAGACTTAGTTTCGGCTTTCAAGCAGCCGGTGTTGCACGTGCTCAAATTACCCGATAAGGCCGACTTGCCACCGTCCGCTTATGGATTAAGCTAGATCTCTTTTAAGTTATGGCCAAATTTTGCACTTCTAAGAATTATTTAACTTAACAAGCAAGTATAATCGCGGGGTTTGCCTCCGCCAAGGTCGAAAGTTTGTAGCAGACTCCAAATCTTAAACTGGACTCTCTGCCGAGCCAGAGGTCCTAACTGAATTGTATCCGCCTATTCTCCTCTCCTAATTTCCCGGATAGGCTGATTCAAATAGAGGAGTTGGCTTAATTTTGGTTCCGACCAATGACCGATTGTTTTAGAGGGAGTTTCGGCCTAAAAGACCAAACGGCGAAATTGACAGCGATGCAACTTATGAGGGGTCGCTAATGATCTCCTGGCACTCCCACTTTTGATTTACGGCTGGTAGGAACTGTCACTTCTCGAATTCTCAAAGTGACTTGCCGCTGTAAGTCAAATTCTCAATTTCTAAAGAAACTCAGTGGGGTTCCTTGAAGTATCATTTCTGCCCTTCTGGAAAACAACACCAGATGCTTGGACGCAAGGACTAGCAGATGTCCTTGTCCGCGCAAGTTCGGTCTATCAGCTCACCGCCTACTGCTTGTTTGACTGTGTGTCTTAAACCTTTGTTTCTTCGTAATTCTTATTGTCTAGTGAAATAAAAAGAGGGGGAGGGGAAGGATTTCAATGATGCGGTTACAGACGGGTCTGGTTTGTAATTGCTCTTGAGCCTCGCGAGCGCAGTCATTCTCGGATCGGAGCCCCGCGGGATTCATGACCAAGTTTTACTGTCTCAGATTCGAGACTTCCCCAACCTGGAGGGTCAGGTCCCCGCATTTATATCCCCCACGAACAGGGTGGCCCAGTTATACCTATTTTCGTCGCCTTCTACGACTCGCAGGGCTACGGTGGGGGGATTGGACTTTACTAGTGTCTCTTACTAATATATACAAATTCAGTTCGTACCTCACAGAAAGCACAGTGCGTTTCCATTACCGAGATGAACCGGTTAATGCTGCTTAGGAACATAATCCCTGCATATTGTGAGAACCATACAGAACGCGCAAACACACTGTGTGGGCAGAAGGCGGAGTTTTTAGCTGACGATGATGGTTTGTATAGTTACCATTGTGGTTTAAGGCGATAATTACAGATCACACCGGTCTAGTTGCCCTTACACCGGACACTGAGATGGCCGAAACATCAGAGATCGTCTCCGTCTTTCGGTCACTAACTCAGGAACCGAGGTGAGTGGGCACCCTCCCACCCTCCCCCTGAGAAGGGAAATTGTTTCACTTCCAACGCGTTGTGTTCTGGAATCGACGGAGGACTAAGGCCAGAAACTCGGCAATTACAAGGAAGAAAGACGAGTAAAATAACGTGAGAGAAGTAAGGAGAGCAGTAAACTTGCAGAAGGAGAAGAGGCTACTGTTCCGCAACGTTTCGACAATTCCGCACGGCTGCACGTCCGGATAAGAGAGCCGCGCTGTAGCTTCCGGTATCCCGGAAGAAACTTCGTCCCTCGCAGCGTGACATCATGACGTAATGTCGGAGTTACTTATTGCGCTGTTGCATCATGGGGAACTTCGCAACACAGGCGTACCCCGAACTGCGGCTTCCGGATTCGCGATCCCCGTTAAACTGGCCAGAGTTAGACTCGGATCTTGGACATCTTCTGCAGAAAGCCCAGGGCCTCAGGGACCACCCTTCCAGAGCACCCCTGTCTGAACTGGAGATACCGGGTTCTGATCAGGTGCTGGTCAATTCAGTTGTCTGTGAAG